AAAAAACAGAATAAATTTTTTGGGATTAAGTACTTATTTGTTTCCACCCCAGACCCTTTTTAGTTGCCTAGTGACATCTTATCTCAAGAACACACTAAAATGAGAATTTCCAGACTAGTTTGAAGAGGTTTATAATCACTGAGTTATATATCCCATACAAGAAACAAATTACTCTGAATTAAAAATATACTGTTTTATCTAAAACATACCACAGTGCTGTGCCTTTTTTCAACTAAGAAAATTCTTGGTTGCCCATGTCCCAAGCACGTTCTTGTCTCTCTCTCTGGTATGTCCCTGACAGTAGCATCAGCAGGGAGAGGGAGGAAAGCTGGGCATATCGCCTGACGGTTTCTTCACAAGGATAGGAAAAAAATATTTTGCCTGGGAATTTTGAGAAGTATTTATTTCTTGGTCCAAAGGGGCTGTTACTTTCTCTGCAACCTCCTCAACATACAGAAGTCTCTCCTTCATCCTAGGGCTTCAAAATACCTAGGGATCATGGGGCACTTGTTAAAGACTAAGTTTCCTTCAGTAAGTAAAAATCTATTGTTACAGGTTTGGGTTTGGTTTGTTTGGTTTTTTTGTTTGGTTGTTTTTTTAGCAGAATTTTCATCATCCTAGAGGAAACAGGGTAAGAAACTATCCCCCAATTATCAGGAGGAGAACACCACATCTATTCTAACTTAAAAAGAGGAAAACCCAGAGGAATAACATTTGCAAGCATCAGCCGAATTGATTTATACACTGCTGTAGTCTATAAGCAACATTTTTTTAAACCACATTAATTTTTCACTGTTTCAGCTACCACTAAAGCAATTAGCAGAACTCATTAGCTGAGTGACATTTTAGAAATTAATGATTTACTCCTGTAAACTGATAGAAATGCATAGTAAATAAATCTTGATTTAATGGGATCAGGAAATCCCTCAGTCCTGGAATAAGTTTAATCAGCATTCATGTTTTTAAAAACAGAAGTGTTGAGGAAATTATTATCTTCTGTTCCAGTCTATTTTTTACTCCACAGAAGTAATCTTGTCCATGAAATTATCCAAGGGTAATTTTGAAAGGACAAAAAACATTAACATTTTAAGTGACTGAAATAACGGCAATGTGCATATGAAGAAAAGCTGAATTTCCCTCAGCGGATTCCCATTACTGCAAACATCTTTATATGTTAACATACTCAGAAGTAATCCTTTATCTCAATGGAATAAGAGTAGAATAAGTGAAAACCATCTCTCTCTGGAAAACATCATCTCTACTGTATCCATTGCAATTCAGAGACCTGACTTTTGATACCCAGGCTAGATGACACTTTAGTGTAGACAGCTCTATATCACAGTAGGTACTGAATTAGAATATGAGCTTTAAAATTAAGTCTTTTGAGTAGAGGCAAAAGCCTGGTTTTATATTTCATTACTATCTTTGGGAACAAAGTTGAAGAGAAATTCTGTTGCCATTAATCTGAGCGTAGCCGTGATTTACCGCATGAGATCCCGTTCTCCTCCAACGGCAGGGCAAGTGCTTTCAGTGAGGCAGCTATACCTGCAGTTTACAACTGAGTAATAACAGAAATATTGATTTTGTGGTTTAGTCAGTGTGATCAGTAAGAAAGCTTCCTCACATTATGTAGCTATTGTGACCTCAAGTTTAAATAATGAAAGCCATAATTTTTTTTTTCATTTTCATCGTACTATGTATACACTATCCTCAACCTCAAGGCACAGGCTTTTTCCACTCACACTAGCATTTTGACAGAGTATTTCTCACAACCTAAAGTAATTGATTTTATCTTTTTATCTGAACAAATATTCTATACATAAATGGCTCTGTATTATACATGGAAAGAGGATCTGTTTGATAATAGCTCAAAATAAAACCTATGCAGTGGGACCCACAAGGCCACAGGTACTGAACATCATTTCTACTAAACAGGATCTCTGTCAAAAAATCCAAATGCTAAAAGTGAAAACTCTTCCATTTTTACAATGGCACCTTTTGTGTTTCTTCTGGAGCAACACAGAGTATAAAGAACTGCCAAAAGAACAGTAACTTTGAACCCTTGTATTCTGTTGCTGAACCTAGCCAAACCCTATTTCAAAAGAGAAATCACAGTGCAGTTGAATGTTTTAAGAAACAGTATAACTTCCTAACACCAATAACTTTCCCAAACAACAAGAAATTGTACATATAGACATAGTTTATGGAATTTTCTGATGTATTCTGTCCTGATAGAAGACTAATAATTCCAGTAGGACTCCCAAGCCATTTAGTAAACAAAGCAAGGACTAAAGTTTTTAAAAGCCTATTAACCAAGGAACACATAATCCTCATTACAGAAAAGCCGATGTTTCAAGGCATCACAGAATTTGTATCTGAGTAAAACCTATCCACAGCCAAAACTGAAAGTGAAGCAGTGCTCATTTCCTTTGTTAGCTTCAAGACTTGAATCCTTAGAGTCAGTAATATTTATCTATGACATGAAGGATAAAAAAGGATAAAAACACTATTTGGCTTTCTATGTAAGGGCTCAGTAGGAGAGAAATAGATCTTCAACACTTCTATTGACGAGTTTCTAATTATAGAAATGAACTCTCCCTACCTTCTCCACACACACCCCCTTTCTTTTACCTGAAGTTTTGAATGGTACTGAAGTGCTGTTAGGAGTTGCCAAATCTGTCCTTGTAGAGGCAAGGCTACTGCAGGTCCCTGTTCTTGGCTCCAGCCAGGAGGGAGGTTGAACATGTTTTCCCAATACACATTACACATGGCCAGCTCCACCGATCAGAACAGAGAGGAAACACAGCAGTCATACAAAGACAAACGGCTGGTCAGGATGAAGGTGTGCTAGTGGGAAAGACACACAGCGTGGAGCCCTCCAGCAGCTGGCCTCGCACACTCGGGCTGCCCAGTAGCTGGCCCCTGGATCCCAGCGCTCCCCAGTTGCGACACATTAACAATCACAAGCCAGGAGAGGCACAGCCCAGCTCCGCTTGCTGATGCAGACCCCCTCACTCCCAGCGATGCACACACCCCCAGGACAGTCTGCATTTGGGAGCAGAAAGCACTAGATGGCAGCAGTGCTCAGCTCTAATTTGGATACAAAAGCAAAGCAGTCACCTGTCTTCAGTAATGCAATTCCTACTACTTCACGTGGCACCTGAGACATTAATTCAATTCTAAAGACAACATAGATACATCTCACAAAGCTGTTGATAAAATGCTCAGTGAATACAATAGGCAGTAGCAGAATGATGTTCCAACTTCTCACTACTATAAGAAAAGACACAAGTAGTAAATATGACAGAACCACGAAAAGTATTTCTAAGTGTCTAAGAGAAAAACATTGCAGAACTAGAGAGATATACAGTGCTCCTGTCTCATCTCCCACTTGTCACTTCCACAGGGTTGGGCAATGCCGCCCCTTCCCCCTCAGCCTGCCACAGCGCTGCCCTGGTGCTGCTGGAGGGAGAAACCCGGCCCTGCCAAGGACTGTCAGGATCTTCTGTGCAATTAACAGCACTAGCTAGTGGTTAATTTAGACAAGGCTTAAGCTTCAGATGTTTGAAGAGGAGCTGGTAACACCGAGAGCCCGTTAAAAAAGCTTGGCTATGGGCCGTTTCCCTCCCCGCTCAATAATTAGGATAAAACCACTATTTAGACATGCAGGTCTTTAAGCTGTATCAGTTCTTTGTGCTACCCAAACACTAGATGCGATCAAAAGGCTGGGCCTGGTGACAGACCATGCTGCTGCCCTCTGGGCATCAGCAAATATGAGGGACACACCCTGGGTCACCTCAGGAGAAACAGGACACAGACCCTTAACACCTGTGGTTAAGGTGCAACTTAAACCGAATTTTTGTACCATTCAACCACATATTCATTTCTATTGCTTCCAGATGGCATTCTTTAGTATTCTTAAACACCTTTACTTAGAAGTACTTCGAAGGTGTGACAGTAAGTAGGACTACAAAACATCATGTGCTGTGAATAGGTCCTAAGACTTTCCAGGAAGTTTTAAGACCCAGAGACAGTAAAACAGTTGTACCATATATAAGTAAAATTGGAAACCTTGTTTAAAAAGAAAAATGTGCATCTAAAGGCAGCTGTACCGTTTCACATGTCAATGCTGTCCTATGAAGGAATTACCTTCAGCCCCAGATACAGCAGACTGACAGAAGTCTCAGGTTTCAGGTGCCCAATTTCCCTTGTACTCAGCTAACCCACCATAAACCATAACTCCTAGCTTAGCTGGTTTTGCTGCACTTCAATGTTTCACAGCCTTCCCTATGTTCAGCAGCTACTACTCAAATCAAAAATCCCCAGCACGTAACAAGTAATTGAGATTTCCCAGACAGATAAATTTGGGGTTGTACCTGGAAACACTGGATAAGAACTCAAAAGGCAAATACAGCAGCCACTACAAGTTTCAATGTACACCAACAATACACATGGCAACAGGACAGGAACTTCACCTGAGCAGAGAGCACCAAAATGAAGACAGTACTGAATATATATACAGTATCAGCACCTGTAGATTGCTACAGCTGTATGAAAAAGGAAGGAAAAAAGGGCCACAAGTCCATACAGTGAATATGGTGTATGTTTTATTCTATTTACAGTACATTTGTTATAAATATAATACATTTCTTGAAAATCTTGAGTAGATTTTTTTTAAAACAGATCAATTGTTATAGTTACATAATAAAGCAAGTGACAATTTAAATGACAATCTCATGGTTGTGAAATAGTGCATTCTGTGTTGAGATGAATGAGAAAATACTCAAACTGGTTAAAGAAATTATTTTTTAAACACCTTCGGCAGGACTCGTATGTAAACCTTGAAAGGTCACCTGTTTCCATAAACATGAAAACTCAAAACAAAATTTTAAACTAAAGAATTGAGAAACAGATATGGATTTCAGACACCTTATTGAACTTCACAGTAAGGCTGGGATTTCTCATGACTAATGGCTTCAGACAGGAGACATCCAACAAGGGTTTCTTCCTGAACCATATCCTAATACAGCCACAAATATTAACACACCATGCTGGAAGTTGTAACAGCAGTCAAGCTGCATTTTTGACAGGTCACAGGACATACACATATGTTCAGATTTGCGTTAAAGAGTATTTTGTGTTATGAATATCTTAATTACCAGAGAAGAAATACATTATAAAAGGATAAACGTATTTTCAGTCCAACGTGCGTTGCATTGAGAAACAAACTGACAAGTAGTCTGAATATTTTGCTATTTTCTTTCCTACAGAATCTTTAGTAACAAGTTGGATGTCTGAGGTGCTATTTCCAAAAACTGCAGCAAAATGTCAACCACTAATATAAGAAATGAATCCCATTTATTTTGTCTTTTAGTGTGTTTTTTTTTCAGGAAGTGGTCAGATATTATTGATAATAATTAGTGCAGGCATGGAGTTCTGCTGACTCGTTTCAAACAAAGTAACTTGGTCCGCTAGCTTGGCAAATACTCTGGGGGTTCCGAGATTATAGACACCTGTATGAACGAAGCAAGCTTTCAGCTGCAAGCTATAGACCTCCTGGCCTTTAAGTTGAAGCTTGTACTGTGTTTGCCCAAGCCACGTAAAAGATCCATGAACTTCTAGTGCTTCGGGGCTGAAAAAGAAGATTAACAAAGTTATTTCTCTGTATTTGAAGCATACATAACAGTTTACATGATTCTCTCAGTCTCAAGTTTTCCCAAGATTTCAGAATGCGCTGTGTCCCCATCGCTGGCCCCTTACAAAGTGATGCTTGTTTATGCTTTCTAAAAACTTATTTTCGAAAGCCAGGAGTTGGAAACTTAAGTTACTATTCTGGCAGTCTTTGGATGCAATGGTGCCCACCATCAGTTATCTTTGATGTCTTCAAAGTTGCTGAGTATTTTTGACTGCCTGCCTACAATAATTTCCCTTTAAGTCACCACTTTCCTCAAACACATCGTGTTTTGTTTCACACACACAACACACCCCCACACTTATCTTTACAACATTAAGATTCTTCCAGTAAGACAAAGCTAGACTTTGAGAGGATAACATTTGCAATCACAGGTATAGACAGAACTGCACTTAACATTTTACAGAAATACTAAATGCAGCTTCAGAAAAAGACCATGTCTATATACCCTCTTTCCTACTACATCCGCATACGTAAACACACACACCCATCCCCACAAACATACACACACTTGGAGACAGAGTACCTAAGGTACCCCCGGGTATTTTTATGGATCCCTATGTCTACCCATCAGCTCAATTTAACTCTGGGTCCTTACTTCTTGCCAAATACTTTTAATGTTGACTCACACTTAATATACTCTTTATAGAAGCTCTCCCCTTGGCTCAGACGAACCAGTACAAATCTTTAAAGCATTTCTTTGGTTCCTAATATACTGTACATTATATATAGAACACAAGTTATAAATGTATGCATAAAGATGAATTCCATTGTATTCCCAGCAATTTATGCAACTGGCACGTAACACCAATGACAGACACAGTAACAAGATGCAAATTGTCAGTTTCAGGAATCCTTACCTAAGGCATTCTAAGGCCTGTCCCATGAACTAGAATTAAATCAGAGTTTATGTCACACAGAAGTTGTCAACATATACACTGCTTGACAGACATTGCACTAATATGTTGGTTGAGAGGAGTGGGGCAGGTTGGGTATTTTTGCTTGTTTTTAAGAAGTTTCAAGGAACAAGACTAACATCTTACTACACTGTTGCTGAATATGACCATCTCGTGAAAACAAACCAGATCAGTGAATAGCTTTCCTAATCTTAACTGATAAATAAAACAGACTTAAGTCTTCTGTTCCCTATTTCTAAACCTGTATATTAGGCCCTGGGGCTTTAATTTCTTAATTGTCTGGATGGACTGTTGGCAAGAAGCAAAATATTCCCCGTGACTAAGTCTACCCTATGTCCTTCACAATCTGTCCCTGCCCTACCCCCAAGAATATTCAGTTAGGGATCTCAAAGTCTATTTCATGGTAAGCAGACCAAGTAGCACATCTACCAGGGGGCAGGGAGATGTCTCACCCAAATTATTCATGAGTTAAACTGACTTATCCTAGCAGAAGTAGAAGAATTAACAGCGATATATTGTAGAATGGTTTGGTTTGGAAAGGACCTTAAAGATCCACTAGCCCAGGTTGCTCAAAGCCTCATCCAGCCTGGCCTTGAACACCTCCAGGGACGGGGCATCCACAGCTTCCCTGGGCAACCTGTTCCAGTGCCTCACCGCCCTCATAGAAAAAGAAAGAGTCTTCCTCATATCCAATCTAAATTCAGCTTAAATCTTTCAGCTTAAAAACCATTACCTCTTGTCCTCTCACTCCACTCCCTGATAAAGAGTGCCTCCCCATCTCTCCTGTAGCCCCCTTCAGGTACTGGAAGGCTGCTATAAGGTCTCCCTGGAGCCTTCTCTTCTCCAGGCTGAACAACCCCAACTCTCTCAGCCTGTCCTCATAGGGGAGGTGCTCCAGCCCTCTGAACATCTTCGTGGCCCTCCTCTGGACTGGCTCCAACAGGTCCGTCTTTTGTATGTTGGGGGCCCCAGAGCTGAACTGGGTACTGAATCCTCTCCCACAGAAATCCTTAATAAAACTTCTAGAAACAGTTCACAAAATGCTAATATTTTTGCATATAATACTGAAGTTCTAAGCAGAATGCCAGTCACTAAGAATTAACTGATAAACCTAGGGGTTTATCACAAATACCTAAGGTTCTATAACATTTTATACTAAGCCACACTGCTGGAGAAAGAACTTAAGTTTAAATTCCGGAAGTTGTTTTCTACTAATTACTTGATATTTTAAAAATTAAAAACCAACAACATACATTTAATAAAGTAAGTCTGCTGAAGCGTATATTTCACTAGTTCAAAAAAATATTTCCACTTTCCTAGGAAAGAGCTGCAGAGTTTAACCATTCAAAAGTCATAATTCAAGGTCTCATCTTAGCAACAGTCAGAAGCAAAGTAAAATTGAGCACAGACCAAAGACTCCCATTTGACCGTATGAAGCCTTCATCACCTTCCATTCTTTCAAAGAAGCCACTGTTGAAAAAAACCTATTCTAGATACTCAGTACAGTTAAAACATTACAAGACTCCCCCAAAATAGGAAGCATTCTCAGAAAATATTTTAACATTCACACATTACCTTGTTGTTTTATGCCGCAAATCAATCATCACATCTACAACAGCCTGGGAACAATTGGAAAGTAGGAGAGTGACAGGTACCAGACAGAGGCTGCGAGGAGAAAGAGTGCCATAGTAAAGGAAAAAAGACTTACTCTGGACAGTCTTAATAATACTCTTAAACAGCTGAAATAAATTTCAAGCAATATAAACATGTAGTTGTCTATTATGCAACAGCCAGACAATTTACATAACAATATAATCACTTACATTGACTAGAGTTACTTCTAAAAGCTATTAAAGCAAACAGCATTGGCTTGATTGAGCCAAATGAAGTTACCAACTTCCTTCATCCAGCTGAGAAAGACCAGGAAAAGCATAAATAATACCTTAGTTTACAGGAAATCTCATGTTCTTACGGGAGACATTTCAAATTGTGGTAACGTGGTCCAGTATGCTACTCTCTGAACCACTGTTTAGCACATTTTGTCTAGATAATTTCCCCTGCACTGCCTCCTGTTGAGGAATTGCTGGCATCTGGCCTGAAGTTTCAGCCAAAAGAGTGCCCAAACTGGACAGATGGCACATACACATCTGGTTGTTAATTTAAACCTTTACCCTTAATAAAGCTAATACAGTTGATATTCTGCTTGTTCACAATGAGTATGATTGTTTTTATAAATAACACTGCAGCAATAAAGACCAAGATATTCACAGGTAGGTACACAAACTACTGCAGCTGAAACAGTTCTAGGTATGAAACAAGTGATTTGTGTCACTGGAATTCCTTGCCATTGCTTAACAGTTTAAATATCCTAAACTTGACTAACAAGAAAAGAACAATTAGCAACTATAATGAATAAGATATGAACTAATTTTACTGGAATAACAGACGCTTTATAAGGCTGCATGTTTTAATGAGAACTACAAAATGTTTAAATTTTTAGATTTGATAAAGAAAGAAATCCCTTTCTTTTGATAACATATTAACTGAATTTTGGGGAAAAAAGTATAACAGTAGAGTTCTCAGATAAAACAACTCAAAGCTAAATTGGTATCTTTATGCTTCAAGTACAATCTGTTTCATATCTGGAAGTGAACCCAGAGGGCTTTGTTCAGATCATTTTAGAAAGACTCATGGATCTTACAGGCTCCAGATAACTCATTCTAGCAGTCTGCTTTTTGATAGAGGTTAATTCTGATATTCTTCCAGGAGACAAGCCCCAGTGATCTAAACTGCTACCAGCTTTCCTTCTGACTCAAATCAGAATCCTGTGCAGCTCATCTTGGCAAGCCAGATGCTGTAGGCATACCAATTCTTTTGACTTGGCTGTCTTCTCAAAGTAGTCACACTGTTTACTCTGACACCAAAAATAAACAAAGGCAACAGAGTATTTGTTTTTCTTTCAGTACATTTGATAACATTACTAGTTAACATTAAAACTGTGAACTACAATATTACAACCTGCTTCTCTAGATGAAACTTCCATTTTACCAGTACAATTCTGAAGCAGCGAGTTTAGGAACTGAGCAAGATTTCACCCTTGCATACCATACTTCCACCTTTGTACCATAACCCACATAGTCTCTCAAGAGGATTTATGTCGAATTAACAACATTTCAAGTTTCTAAAGAAAACATCACACTAACCTTTTTTGATGAAAAGAATGATTGAAAGACTCTGGATAATGAAGACTTGTCTTGATAAGATTAGAAAGCTGCTCTGGTGTTGGTTTTGCAGGTACTGGTGTGTTTTCTGGTCGAAAAAACTTTAAGAGAACCGTTTCTGGTAATTCCTGAAACACAAATTCAGAATGACATTTCAAATATTGACATAAGGTACTGTGCAACACAATACAAGAAATCCAGTCACAGAAACTACAATTTTTCATTATTAACTGCAACTCCAGGGAAAGAAGTCTACAGCATCATGAAGCTTGCAGGTTTTTTTCCCAATGTGTTTTGTATTTAAGCATGCTAGAGGAGAAACTGATATGATTTATCTGTTACCTTCTTTTGAGACAGATTTCACAGCTGCATGTGAAAACACTATCTGTGCAAGTTTCATAAAAGCATGCTATTGTTGCAGTGGTTTGTTAGTGTTTGGGTTTTGTTTTTAAGAAAAAGGGACAGTATTTACACAGTTCCCTATCCAGCAGCTGCACTTAAAAAAAAAAAAAATCCATCACCTGCCCTGGGAAGTTCACAACAGGAAAGCCAATACCTAAGTTTCCCAAAACAGATCCAAAGTAAAGCAAAAGACATTTATAGGAACATGCTAACAGTGACCAAAGGATTTAAGAATGCAGAGTATCTTAAAAATTGTATAGCAAGCTCTCGCAGATATGAAAGTTACCTTCCTCCCCAGCTGAAAGCCCAAGTCAAGCACGTACACACTGCTTGGGATTCATCCTAACCCCGCAGGCAGAATCAGCCTCCAAAGCAGAAGAAATTAGATGCAACACCAAATGCGGCAATCGGGCTGCATTTGGTCCAGCATTACAGCACTACTGTAACTCTGTCCAACATCATCTAATCTGTTTTGCAAGCAGGATTTATTCAGGAAGGGGCTGCCTTATGAACCTATCCTGCAAAAAGTCCATCTTGAGAAGAAAAATAAATTTTCAGATTTTCAGCAAGTGACTACTATGCATATGAAAGATTTTAAAAGGCCACCAATAAGTCAGTACAGTGCAACAAATAATACTTCTTGTTTAAGGGTGATGGATTCTACCTTCCAAGTCGAAAAGAAAGACTCTAGTCAACAAAAGCTGACTCAAAGTTAACAGCCCCACTGGGCTTTCTGCAATATATGTGAATACCTCAGTCACTGTTTGCCTGTGTTGGCAATAATCAAAAGACACCAAATGTTTTAGCAGGCTTGTAATTTTTTCCTCTCAAAAGGAAAAATATTTTTCTCAAAAAGTAATTTGAGATGAAAAAAAGATATTTCACAGTAACAATAAAATACATTTTAAGCATTGAATGAATTCAGTATTTCCATCCTACCCTATCGGTACCTAACTTGACAAAAATGAACAGCATGAAACACACCAGAGATGAGATTATAGGTTTCCATTTAAATAGATCTTTCCCTCAAATTACAGTCCAACCAATTATTCAATGCCCTCTTCAACCACATATCAATATCCTACACACTGTAGTTTGCCCTAGAGTCAATTACCTGTTCCAAGTCCTCCCAATCAGAATTCCCGAGTATTTTTTTAAAACCCTACAAAAGACAAATACGAAGGTTTATCTCTACAAATGGACAAGAACATCATGAAATGCAGCAGGAACATTCACTGGTGATAGTGCAGAGTGCCATTAATATTTCAAACCTTTAGTCCTAATATTACACCTCTGTTAAAGGACTGGAAAGCAGTAAGATTAACCATCCACCATCACAGTGCTAAATCTTAGTTCCAGCCAGCCTCTGGGTGTCAGATTCAGAAAATATGTCTGTCTTCAAGTTCAGTTGCTAAAAGTCTGGTTTTTTGGTAACTCTAGAACAATGGCTAAGACATGACATTTAGCACATGTTTCTCTTACCTAATGGTTCAGAAGAGAATTAAGCACTTCCAAATGGTAACCAAGAAGACGTGCATACAGATCAGGGAGCTACCTAGAGACAGCTAATAAGAAATGCTAAGTTTAAGGATGCATTCAACTCCTGCCCTATTCTGGAGCTTGGGAAATTCGAGCAAGGCTACAAAAAAGATGCACATAGCTACTTGGGCACCTCTACCCTCCCTTAAAGAATACACGCTAAGCACTTAACCTCAAGACTTTTGGTTATTCACACTTGGAAGCAAAGTAAAACAAACCAAGAATTAAACGGGTGGTACTTTGTTGCCAAACTCCTAGAATACAAGCCCAAATGGAGTACTGCCTTTTTAAAGGCAAAAACTAAAGTTCTGACACCTATAATCTTGTTGACCCATTATGGTTCCTTGCAACCCTCCAGAAGTGTCAAAGGCTCCAACAGACTGCAAGCACCGTATATTGCATAACAACAAGGCCATAACAATGGTCAAGATCTCCCTTTAAAAAATTAAAGTGTAATCTGAAGGTCTCATTCATAAACACCGACAGAGGTACAGATAAGCTTGACTGGAAGAGTCATCATCATAAGAAGAGTTTGGAAGTAGTGGAGGAGGGCAGTGTTTTTTATTTTTTTTTAATTTTATAGCTGCATTTTTAAGCTTTTTGGCTTTTGACTAGAAACAAACAGGCAGTAGCACCAGAACCACACTGCTGGCTCTTTTACTAAGAGCTACAAACTGCAAAATTGGTGCTACGAGAGTTGTTTCTACTTTTAGAAAGCTTTTTCCTGCCCAAAGGGCAGCTTCAAACAAATATACTTAAAAACAGACACAAGCTTAGTGTTCCGAGTAGAATAATCTCCGTATCTTCACTTACTCAATAGCCACAAAAAAGCCTGAACCTTCAGAGTCTGATGTTTTGCTACTTTGAAATTAGGTTGTACATTATCCCTACTTACACTTCTGAAATAGCTATTTATAATTCACACTGTTTTTATATATGTCCTGCAAGTGTATTAAGCTAAAAGTTGTAAAAGTCAAAGTGTCTTTTGCACTATCTGATAGGTGTAATAGACAGGCCTGCCCATAATACATTTGTTTAATCTCTTAGAATGCACTCTCAAATTGAAAAGTTCTTCCTTTTCATCAGATGGATGGAAGCGATGGTATCTTCTCATGCCATCATTCAAAAGGATTTTTCTACATAATGAGACAACTCAAAAGTTCTCAATTTCAAAAACAATCTTCCCAGTGATTGGGTCAATGTGCTCTTAAACATATCAGAAAAAAAATTAAACATCACAATTTGATTTCCAAGTTGTATGGAAATTCAGCACATTTGCCAAATAAATCACAAGTTACACATAAAAACAAGGATTGCTAACATGCTCAGTCAACTATGAAGGACCAATATGCACAGCATAGAAGGAAACCTTAACAGTAAACTCCTAAACAATGATATGTACAGGTAAAAACAGAATTTATGAAAGCAACAGAATAAGACTGAGACCAAGAGAGATCCTAAGTGATGCGACTTTCTCCCTTTCCCATTTTAGATCAGCTAATTCCCATTTTGAAACCTTAGTTTTGAGTTGGTTTCCTTCACCATGCAACTCATCTACACTAATTCTAGCTCCTAACTACAGGAATGATGATTCTAGGAACACTATTTCACTAAGACATCAATCAGTAATGCATTTGAAAACACATTACCATCAGCTCTGCAGTCTGTCAGTGGGTAAAGCAGCAGATGCAATTTTTCAGCTATTTGGAATATTTCATTTGTGACAATAATGTAAGCTAGTCCTCCCAAATTGGTACAGTAGCTGGTACATTAATTCATACAACAGTGAAAAATGTACACTTCAGCTATTGAAGTTTATTTACGCTTAAGAATTTTGCTTTCCCACCAATCTGGTTTAGGTTTAAAGAAAGTCTTAAATCCACTCCAACAACTTGTGCCTGATTTATGTAACCCCCCCCAACATATTCTATAAAAAAAATTCTGAAGTAGCATAAGATGTCACTTCCAGTAATTTACTGTTAGGAAAAATAAAGTCATTTAAGTCCTATCCTCTCTTACCTTTCAAAAATTCCTACTTCTAATACAACTTTGTGAGGCAGCAATAGTTTGATCTATATTAAACAAGCAGTGTTACCAAAAATTACCATCTCTGATAGGAAACATCGCGAAAAATCCCATACACATGCTAAATGCATTTTATGGATTTTACTCCAGGCTAGCACTGGTCTAATCCACAGGACTGAATGAGCAGCCCAGAACTACACCCTATCCAGATTAAGTCTGCCTGGAAGGTATCTACTTTGTGCATTACAAGACCACTTCACAGAAAAAACAGAGGGCTGGACATGAGAACAGGATCTTTAAAAAAGTATGCTTGATCTAAAACACACTCATAGACACTATCTCATCTAGACTTCAATCAAAATTAAGTTTACACTCACATGTTAATGTGTTTCAGAAGTACAGATGCTCTGTTTCCAACATGCCGGCATGCCCAAGCAACAAGCCTCTACTAGACTGCTTCTCACCTTCCATCAGTGTGAAGTCTTCACCAAACTGAACCACGGCAAATGCCCCAGCCCCACATTACTACTTCCATCCCACCATACCACACTATGCTCTTCCTTTGGAATCTTTTGGATTGAATTCAGCAGATTAGAAAAATATAGGAGACAGCAATATGAAACAATACTGATCAACAGACCAGACTCAGAATGGACCTTTAAAGAATTTGAAGTTTTTGTCACTTTACTAAGTTACAGTAGAGAGGCCAAGAACAAGAGACAGAATAGCTGTATTTCAGGTGCAATTGTACTTTAACCTTTAGTGAAAACAACTCAATTCCTGAAAGCAAGTTTCAGAAGATAAACAGAACCCACACCAGTATCGTTGTCAAAAAAGAACAGCCATTAGTTACAAACACCCAGCTAATTTTTTTTAGTGAGGCTTTTAGTATTTGGACTCAAAACAGCTACTGCTAACACAGCTGTTCAGACCTCTTCACTTTACTAACACCTTCTGATTCTTCAGGTATTCTTGCTAGTGACTATAACATATCACTGACATTTTTGTTTCTGATTCAAGGAAATAAACAATATTTAGCATTTTTCCCTACCTTCAACAAAAGGCATTTTTTAAAAAATGGCAAGTGATACAAAGGATAGGAAGATAAATGTTTTCCATTTTATTCAGAAAGCTTTCTATACAAAACAAATAAATGCTTTATGAGTCCACATTCTTTAAGTGTTCCTTCAGCATACTATGTGTTAAGATTCCAAACTTCTAGGACATAAAGAGGTAAGCAGTTCATCACATCACCTGATAAGTCTACTGTGTCCAGTAGACAATGCTCAAAAGCAGTACTATTTAGTTAAATAAAAAAAAGCCTGTAATGTAAACAAAAAAGGTGTATTCAATGACAGAAAAATCAGTAAGCTTCAAAGTCATAGTTACCATTATCCTGGTTAGAAAGAAAAAAGCTTAGCATTCATAATGCTGTTTTGAACAGACATGGGAAGAAAAGGACACAAATGCATTCAAGTCAAGTAAAATTTGTATAAATTTTACTGTTATTTTATTGTTCTTATGTGGGTACATACAGAAATTTTAACATGATAAAGATTTCAAGCATCCCTCAAACCTCACTTTATAGAAACCCAAGGTTTTATCTTGATTTTCTCAAACACTATGGCAAGTTATGCCACTGTGACTACTGTGGTTTTGAACACTGAGTGGCAGCACACCACTATACACCTGCTCACTCACCCTCCCCCTCCTGGGAATGGTGAAGAGAATTAAAAGGGTAAAGGGAAAAAGCAACTCGTGGATTGAGATAAGAACAATTAGTAACTACACTGCAACAAAACTGAAAATAATAATGATAATAATATATACAAAGAGACAAATGAGTGATACAGTGAAACTGCTCACCACCTGATGACCAAGGCTCAGCCTCTTCCAAGCTAATGGTCCCAGAGCAGGGAGAGTCCCAAAACTGCAATCTTGGAAAAGATAAAAGCCCGAGCATCCAAGAGACTGAGAGCAGACCAAGAGAGCGAGACAACCTCAAGAGGGAGAGAGGCAACCCAGAGAGAGAGAACTTCCAGACAGATCCTCATCTACATACTGGGCATGATGTGAACGATACGGAATATACCATTGGCCAATTTGGGTCTCAGTCCTAAACCTAAGATCAAATCGTAGGCTCGTAATTGGGGCAGTGCTACCTCCCAGCTTCTCCTGCATCTGCAGACACTGGCACAGCAGAGAAGCTGAAAAGTCCTTGACTGTCCTGGCAGCAACTATAAACACCAGTATGTTATCAGCCTTCTCAGCACAATCCAAAACATAGCCTCACACTAGCTACTATGAAGAAAGATAACTGTCCCAGCTGAAACCAGGACAGCGATACAACAATAACAGCATCCTGCTGTCTGTTCCACATCCCTGTTTTATGCATTGCACGTTCCACAATGAACCAAGCAGAAGTAACCACCTCTGCTTGCATCTCAGTCAGTCTAACATCTTAGCTCAGACAGATGATAAAGATGACTTTACATCAGTGCAACCACCTACCAATCTACCAGCAACTGCTGGAAGAACTGGAGAGCTATAACAGTGCCAAGGAATGCAGATCTACTGCTTTTCTAACTACACTGCTTTACTGTAGCTTTGTTTCCCTGAACAGTTCTAGGAGCTTCTATAAATCCAAACTAAATCCTTAAAAACTGGCAAAGAATTAGTCTTAGATATATAATAATGGACAAAAAAAGCAAAAGCCAACAAGTACATAGAATTTAACCAAAATATAAAGCAAGCTATCTTGATTTGTTCAACAGTTATTTGGTGAATTCAGCTAAGATTCGAGTCATTTCTCAGAAGGCTAAAAAAAAGGGGGGGGTGCAGAGAGAAATCTTGTTCATGTTTTCTCCATGCCTATTGTGAGACTGTTCTTGGCTGGGGATGGATATATTGCTACTGAGAGACAAAAATTCCTTTGCTCTTTGCAACAGCATGAAGCAGAAGCAGCTTAAGACAAGAACAAAGTTGCTGAAAAAAAGCAACAAATAGGAATGCAGGGAGTGGGCTCTTAGATTTATTTGCAGATTTGAACAGGATACATCTTTTCAGATCTAGACAGCCCTTTCTCATATAAGAACTGGTAACCAACATGCATTGGCAAAAATCACACATCTTCATCTCCCTCTGCTGTCTAGACAACAGAAAACAACTTCTGTCAGCACAAGACATTAAGGAACACTCCAGAGTTTCCAACTCTGTTTATAACTTAGAGAATAAATACAGATTTACAAGACAAACTATTTGAATGTTATAAGTCTCAAAAATGTATACTGAAAATGTTAAATTAGAAGTGATATTTGGGTTTCTCCCCCCTCAGTTTTTCACTGCTTGTGAAAAACTTTAATGCAAGAGAAAGATAATTCAAAGATTATTTAATCCTATTTTGGGGGTGGAGTGAACAAAGCAAACTGCTGCAAAGTCTCAAATCACTTAATTTGTTATACCTCACCTCCCTTCTCAGAGGAATTTATCTACTCTCCTCACAATATACAGTGCCCATTTAAAAAAAAAAAAAGCAGCAGCACATAATCATATGAAATTTCTTAACTATTAGCAGTCCTGAGATGACAGGCTCTTAAAATCCAGGTTAAATCCTGGTTTTGGTTACCATGAGGACACAGAATTTACACATTTATTAAAAATAACCACCATTACTCTTATACCAGATTTCAACTGCATCACAAGGCAGATGCATTTTTGCTTCCAACCAAGGTACAGAATGCTTCAAAGGAAGTACGTTGCTTATGCTGAAGAAAGCAAATACAATAATCAACGCAGCATCTATTTGAATGTAGTTGTAACGACAATAATGAGTAATATGATCAATATAATTGATGTCTAATATAGTAGCATGTATTCTTCAAAACAAGTTGAGGGTACATCTGCATCCTCCTTGTTGCTGGTTGCAGGATTCATCTCTTAGTTTGAAGCTGAATTTGACTCAGACAACTAGAGTTCCAATGCAGTCAACAAGAAATGTAATTTCTATCACTAGCATGTTCAGAGATCTATTTTAGGATGCAGATATGAAACATTCCTACTACTCCTCCCACCCATTTGTCAGAACCAGACCTCAATGAGATCCAAAGTAGAAGTCCACTGTGTTTTCTCTTCTAACTTCAGATGTCTACAGTGTTACTGTTCTACGTGCACCTTAAGACAGGAAAGATAATACCAGAATGGGCAGCTGTCATTGCTCAGCATAGCTTGAGCCCACACATGCAAAGGGCTTTTTTGGGGGCAGGGGAGTGTTAAGACCATTTTTTCAACTGGCTTCAGACCTTCAGACCATAGCTTAAATTTTTATATTTTTCAGTACCAATCAACACCAGCCAGTTTAGCTCAAACTACATGCCCCTTTCAATCTATTCCTATCTATTTCATAGCACAAAGAACTAAATGGAAAAATCATTTTAATCATACAAAGACACTTAAAGGCTTATGAACCAAAGGCAATTGCACCACTTCAGAGCAATTCACTACTTATGGTTATAGCATGGTATTTATAGAAAGATACATCTGTCCTATGTTGCTTTCTTGACAAAATTCATGTATAGTACTACTTGCTGCAACTTTGAGTAGGAGCTCACTACAAGTTATACATGATGGTTGCAACATCAGTAAAAACATAATGGCACCAAAGCAAGAACAGCAACGTGCTGCTCAGCAGAAGACTAAACAAATACAAGACTTGCTTCTTCTTTTTTATTTTGCACATTAGTCTTCTTCACACACATGAATTGCATCTAGCATAGATGTTTTTACAGAAAGTTATCTATAGCTTCTATAGTTTTTATGGATCCTTATACCAGGACACACTCTGAACAATCAAACAGGCTATAAAACTTCAAAGTGAAGTAACATGCTATTAACTGATCAATTCCAATGGAGCTTTCAATGTCTTTTTAACTACTCCAGTGTTTCTACTGTTCTAACATTTTACACTAAAGGTCTTCACTGAAGTTGTGCACAGTAATAGAATTGATAAAATTGATCTTGTAACACTCAAAAAATTTCCACCACTTTACTATTAACTTTATTGAATAATTGTTAACTTTGACTTAATACTATTAATAAGCTTCTAGTTCTACCCTGAAATACTACAGAGCAGTTTACTCCAAGAGTATAGCAGTATACTCATTTGTATACTGCTTTTCTCATCTTTAAATTGAGCCTAGCTATTTCAATACAGATGACTAATCAAAGCTGAAGTAAGTCAGTCCAAATTATTTAGCAATAGCACATATCTGATGTTAGATTCTACAAAAGCACCCAAACTGATCCCACTTATTCACAGGAAAACACACCAAGTCTATTTTGGGAACAAAGCAATTGTAAAGGAAAACTTCACAGTAGATTACCTGCTTCTGAGGAAATGAAAAAGCCTCCTTCCCAACTGTATTTAGGGCAACATGATGCTGGCCCTCCAAAATAAGCTGCTTATTGTCTTCCACAACATATGCCTACAGAATATAACACAAAGACATTAGCAGATCAGAAACTATCATAAGCTTCATAATACAGAAAAATAATAATACTGACTTTGCCCCTAACCTAAGGGGAAGATGTTGTACTGTTCAAAACCTAAAGGCTAGCATGACATTTAATTCATGTGTATGCTTTTAATTTTGCAAGCACAGACAACTGCTGAAGTTTAGACTGCCAAACTCCTCTACTTAGTATTTGCATTCTGGCAAATGAGACCATCTTCTCAAAAGCAGACTGGGGTCACTCTTACAGTTCTATGATAAGAGGAAGCATTAGCAGTTCTCTTGGTTTAAGACTTGAGAATTGTCTCTTTTAAGAGGAGAACTTAAGAACTGGGTGCATCCAGAGTCATGTAAAACCACTCAAGCATACTTATTACAGTAACAGCTATTAAGTCTGTCTTTGCTTCTTGACACCATTTTAGTTCATTTGCCTCTTTTCAGAAAAAAATTCAGCCACAGATTTTGTATGAGTACACTTGAAAGTTCAGGATGCCATTTTAAATTATGTTCTAACAGTCATATTTTGTGGCCAAATTCCCATAAAGGCCACAACCATACATACCTTCCACAGTACAACAACATTCAAATCAACTTCACTGCATCTTTGTATCAATCTGACTGTCTCATCAAATGATTGTTTCACATCCCTTTGAGATGCATGAGTATGAGATTGCACATGTGTTCTTTTAAATTCAGAGGATAAGCTTTGAAAAAAGAAGTCTGCACAAGGACTGGCTGAGCTTATTATCTGAAAGAAAAAAGCAAGAAAGTGATCTCAGAACAGGATGCAAGCTGACACAACTTACTCAAAAACTGCAATGATGAGCTCTGCTACAGTTCCATTATCTTGCCTTGCTTCCCTTTGCAAACCTACAGGATGTCACGCATCTTCGTTTCCACGCTTGCCCTGTTAGAGGTCAGCCCTACCTAGTGAGCTGTCTAAAGTAACATAGGGAAATAGAGCTATATATTATTAGCTCCAAATACCAAACTTGGAAATAAGGGCTTTGATTGCTATCACCAGACAGCCTACTGTGGTATACCAAGTGTAGCGGAGAGAGCTGAACTGTCCAACTAAGTCACAAGCTAACTCAAAAGCAAGTCATTATTGTTTATCAATATGTTCCTCAGATTAGCTAGGATTATCAAAGTTAGGAACATACATTTTGCTAGCAATAGCAAAGATAACAGATTGCACAGCATGCCCCCATGTGTAAGTGGCACAGCCAGGAGTCCTGTACTGTTTGTCAAGTTTGTCATAATTTGTGCTGAGCTTTTCCAACACCAGGAGCTTGATAAGGAAGCAGCAGTTTTATGACTGACAGCAATGATACTTGGAGACAGCAGTGTAACAAAGACACTTGAGCTTCCTAAACCTTCTGTTTCAAAAATGTTAAGTCCTTCCAGAATATGCTGTTGCAGAGCTGCGAGCTGTTGCATTAGCAGACTATTCATACCCAGGGAGAAAACAATCTGCTTTTGGAGTAACTGTCTAGAATGGAGGGCTCCTTCCCCATCAGAAAACATTTTCTTACAAGAAAGCTGAAGTTCATGCAGCTCATCCAACTTTAAAAATGAAAAGAGGGATCATTTACCGCAGATTTTTAGTCCTAACTTCAATGTATAAGTCTACAAAATGAAATGACCTACTTTCCTCAGGTTTTGAAAAAAGCATTTACTGTACCAAGATCATTTTTAAAAGTATTCTTCAAACAACATCTGTATGGTTAAAAAGCTCAAAGGAGCATGGTAGTCTAGAATCTTTAAGAAAAATCAAAGAAGCAGACTCCTTGAACTGACTGCAACCTACATTAAGCGTTTTGAAATTCCAGTACCTACATGCATTAGAGGTTTCTAGATTATTTTTAGAATAAGCTGTAATTAGAGTTTTTAATTTATCTTAGTAAAAATACAGTTAAGAAAAAACAGAACAAGAATCTGACATCCACAGATCTCTATTAGAAAGCTAGAAGACCAGGAAATATTCAGAAGAACTGCTCTGAAGAGTTGGAAAGGAAGGAAAAACATTTTAGCTAAAAAGCTAACATCACAATGCGCTCCTAAAGTAGTTCAGCTGTGGAGTTGGGAATGCAAAATTCCAGACTATCCACTAGCCTATGCTACCTTACCATCTTTGAAAAAAAAAAAAAAAAAGCTGACCTAGGTTTTTCATGGGCAAAACTCAACTTCACAACTATGAAAGCACTGTTCCCACTTTGAAATTTTAAAAAAGGCTTTCACTGGGTACTTTCACATAAGGATACAAAACATGCAGCTGCACCAGTTCACCTACCTGTTCGTTTCCAAAGACAATGTCTGCAAATGTGTAATTTTCTAAGGATAAAAAGAGAAGGCATTGTTTCAACATCATGAGAAGTCACAACTTCAGCGTACAGCACCCAAATAGTATTTTCTTCAAAAAGTTACCACATTCATGAGACAGCCTACCTTCTGAGTTTTTGCATCTTACTGCTTTAAAGCATAACTTCGCTCTCTCTCTGCTAGCAAGTTTTGTATCTGAAAGAAAAAAGTTGCAGGATTTTTTTTTTCCCTTCAACATGACCAGTCCCTCCTCACTAGCCAAAAGCCAGCCTTTAAACTTCACAAATAAACACATTCATGACACTCAAGAAGCATAACTAATCAAGCTGAGCATCTGCACAATAGTAAACAGATTAATTTTCTGTGACTGCATGGTACTAAAGATGCATCTTCTGCTCGCTCCTTCCATCTGCTTCTAGAGCAGAAAGTTAGCTGTAACGCAAAGGAGATACAGAGAAAGAAAGAAGGAAGGAACAGAAGAGAAAACATTCAGTTTGTATGACTGGTTCACCCTCAATATTAATATAAGAGGAATACATGTCTAGACCAATTTTTAAGTACATAATATGTCAGCATACAAGACAGCATTTGTTAGACACAACAACAGCACCTTTTTTTGGCCTGGGATAGTTAGCCTTCTCAAAAATTAGCAGCTTGTATTAGCTAAGGTAAGATACAGCACTACCAATTCTGGTATATTTCTAACAACTGAATAGAGCACTTGTCAAATATTCTGTTGATCAGTTAAATTTAACATTGATAACTAAAAATAAAGGAACACTGAAACATATTTCCTGTGAGGCAAGTCATCAGCCAAGCCAGACATGGATTTCTTTACACCAGAGAAACAGTTTACCACTAAGTTAAGCCCATTTTTTAAATTAATGAAGTCTGAAAGTTATCTGTCAATATACTTTCCTTGAAAAACTAATAAGAGGGCAGTAGTATGTTTGAAAGGGACAAAGTCTTTAGAAATTACTCTGAAAGCCAAATTCAACTCCTTGTAAGATTTTTTTTTTAACTGTCCTTGTCAGGCAGAAGCTACACTTGCCATCCTTTAGGTGATTAAGACACACACCTTTGTCTTCAGAGATGTTAACAGATTTTTGAAGCTTCCAGTGCTTGCTATTACTTGAAACTTGCACTATATGAAATTCTTTAACACCAGTCTCACTCTAAGAAAGAAATAAAAATTATGTCAAACAAGACCAGTCACAATTGTGATGTTCCACGTCACACAGAAGTGTTCATTGCAAGGTGGCACTCTCAGAATCTTAATTTACTCACATCATCCATTAATGGATTACTAAGGAGAGACAAAAAGAGATTGAAGACCCAGCATAACAGTAAACAGTCCCAGTTCACAGCAACTGCCAATTCCAGTAAACAAAGCCACATAGAGAAGAAACAAAGATCCCCCAGAAAAATACCCACAACCTAGTATTTTAGATTAGGACGACTATAACGAAACCTAGGCTTTTAACTCCAATGCAGAACACTGTCTGCAAGGCCACTTAATTTCTAAGATTACTTCAGGAAGATTGCTAGGTCATAAGTCTCAGAAATTCAAGAACTTTTTTTTTTACATATATACACAAAAGTAGCTTTTGGGGTTGATTTCCTTTCTTGGAAAGCGTGAGGT